AAATTTCATTTAGCTTTCTTTATTATATTTATATAATTTACTACTTGCTTATAACAATGTTGATATCAAACACTCAAACTAAATTTAAGTCTTACTGTAAGTTTTACCAAAAATTACATAATTAAATATGATTAGTTCATTAATTATCTAAGGATTAGATTTGTATAGTTAAAGTTATAATTGACAACCAACTAAAATAATAAAATTCTTTATCTTTTTGATCAACATCTATTTCATTTTATAAATTATGCAATATGGGATTTTTAAGTAATAATTAAAGTTTTATATATATGGTCCAAAAATAAAACTGATTGATTATTAAATTGATGATTAAGAAATATTAGAAAAGTTAGATTCATTTATTAATAAAATTGTATTCTAATAATAATATAGTATATTTCAAAATATTATATGTTAATTAACAACTTTTATTTTTTATTTCTTATACTTTATCAAATCCCTAGTACATAAATTTTGCCCTTATTATGATTTATTTTCCTTTCTCTATTTTTATTCAGGATATTTTTTAACTTTCTTTTCCAACTAAGTAAAATATTTTGTAATAATTGAAAAATTTATCATTCTATAATCTTATTTTTAATATTGATTGAATATAAACATAAATTACACTTCTCTTTCATTACTTAAGTAGCAATTGTTATTACTAATAAAATAGAGCAAATTTAATGTTTTAATTATTTGTATTGTATTATATAAAGAGTCTTCTGATATTTTAATGGGTTGATTTGTTGAGTTTTGATTTTTCATAAAATAGAGAAACAAAATTCGTTATGCACTATTTATATAAGCTTAGACTTGAAGAAATGAAGAGGTTAAATCATAAAATCAATATGATTTAGATGGTTTCCATTTGCCTTAAAGTAATTTTGTCATTTTACAATCTAGTAAATTTATAAAAAGATAAACCATATACAGAAGATCTGTTCTTTAAAGAGAAAACCCAGTTGAATTGTTGGTTACTGTTTTGAAGAAAGAATTAATTATAAGTAGATCATATATGGAGAGAGCTTTAGAGAAAATGACAGCTAAGATAACTTAAGAAAAGCCATCTGCTGATAAATTGCAAAAATTGTATCAAT